TATGGTTTCATTAATAAAATATATATAAATGCATGTAAACATTCATCGAAAACAGATCGATTACTCTTTGTTCACTATTTTTTTTGCCTCTGTGTACTGGCACAAATTTGATTTCTGTTGCTCTAGTAAAGCTTACTTGAGAATTAGGCTTTTAAAAACTTCTTTTATCTACTGATCAAAAAAAATATTTTTCACTAGTTTTTATTTAAAAAAGCCATTATATCGCTTTCTCAATACTCGTTTATGAGAACTTTTGTTTCAGGTTTGACTGTTTCAATTCAACTTTTTTCAAACATCAAATACTGCATCATTAAACAAGTGGTTAATTAAGACATAATGTTAACAGAGTGTTCAGTATCTTTTGCACTAAGCTTTTGCACGTCACTTATATGTTTCCTCTGTAGTTCTACACCGTTTGTCAATTTTGCGATTCTTGTAAGCACCGTGATTAAGAAATATTAATTTGCTCATTACGAGGGGGTTTTTCAGGTTTTCTTAGAGCTTTAAAATTGTTTATTACGAAACAGACTATGGATCCGATGGACAGTATTGTCAACTTGAAACGTTTGAAAGGACGAGATTAGAGGGTATGAGGAGAACCACAGGCGTTTCGTTGTGTTTTTCAACCATTAAAAGGGTGGGGAATTTTCCATTCAGTTGATACTGAATTAAAAACAGCACTGTGGATACGACTGCAGTTTAATTAGTGGCAAATATTTTTAAGATAGCAGGGTCTTCAATTTTTCTTTTTTCCTTATTAACTGTCTTTGACTGCGTGATCTATTTTTGCTTTGCATGGTTTTTTTTTTACTATTTATTTTCAGGCACATTGATGCGATTATCGAATAGAGAAATGATAAGTTAAAACATATATGTTCTGAGTGATTGCTTTTCTGCACATGTCGTTTACGAACGTAGTATTTGGCTAAATGGGTCTTATAATCATTTCTGTTTTAATAATTATTGCCCTTCTATTTTATAGGTTAGAAAATTTTTCGTTTTTTACTAACTGTGATGGACTGTAATATGTGCAGATAACGTGTTTTTTATCCATCTAAATAAGCTGTTTTTTCTGGTTGCTTTCTGTTCTTTCTTGGTAACTAGTTAAGCTGCTGCCTTTGATGGAATTTTGCCCTTTAGAGTTAATTTATGGTTTTCGGGAGAAAGTGATGGTTTTACAGGTATTTTGGTCGTGGAGTTTCGTGTTTTCTTGCCAGGTGTTTCGGATGTAGTTCTGTTCGCTTAGGAAGATGTGGATTTTTTTATGTATCGCATATCAAACTATGTCTTTATAACGGTACCATTATTGAAGTTGACGATTTAAGGCTTTCTTCCAGTCTCTTCAGCTCAATATTTACGTATGGGATTTTCAATAGGATTTTATTGGCTGCAATGGACGATTTCTTTAGAAAACTGATTTAGGAAACCTTTGTCAGTCTCAGCAGGTGATATACGGATTGAGGGCAATCGAAGCATGTTTATTAAAGGAAAGTCTTCCTCCACTCAGATCAGCTTCAGATTATCATCTGGTTTCGAACGATTTATACATTGGTTGCAGGTCTTTTTTCGTTGTCGTTATTTTCTTTCTGAAGAATCTGCAACTTTTTTGTCGTTTAACATTATCTCTGTTATTACAGTATACTTGTATCGTTATCCGAACAGCGCGGATCGTACTTCTTGACGTTGTCCCAGGCTGTCTTTTGCACTGCACGTTTGAGACCTTCCAGCTGGATACATTTCGTGACCGTGAAGGGTAAGTTCAGTCCTAACTGCCATTGCTTTCACCGGGGTATACTTTGCCAGTTGCCTTTCTTATGTAAGAATTAAGATTTTTTGAATTGTAATCAGATGGTTTGTTTTTCTTACAGGGTCCAAATGGAGCTTGTCTGTCACCTAGCACAGTCTAAACTTTTTGAACGGGCTTCAGCTCAGAATACATCTGCGCTGTTGGAGGTTTCATTGGGTGGAAGGATTTCCCTTGACTTCTCGATAGCGGAAAAAGTGCTGAAGCGTGTTGTTTTTTCTGTGGCTAATCCCCTATTTTCTGTCTCTGATGGTACGCAAATTTAAACTTTAGGGGTGGAAAATGTTTGAGTTCTTTCTTCACTGGTTGTGCTATAGTTGAAAATTTTCAGAACAAGAAATGTATAAGTTTTATTTTGTTTTAGGATTGTTCAGATACCTTGGCGGCTCTACTTTTAAAAGGCCTGAAAATTTAATTAGTGAAAAAGGTACTTCGTTGTACGAACAGTCCTCTGATGTTTTGACGACACCGACCGATTTACCAACTGTTAAATTGGATATCACAAACATTACTCTTTCTTATATAGCAAATCTTGGTGAATTAGGAAGTGAAAAGTAATTTTCAATTCCTGATCAACGTTTTCAACATCTTTTTCTTCGCTGCAATCGTTTTTGACAAACATATTATTCTCTTGCATAATTTAGTTCCTGATTTAAATAGCTGATAGATATCTTGAATGATTTAGACGGACGTTGTCTACAACAATGAGCTGTGTATCTGTTTCGATAGAAGAAGGTAATAGATTTTCTGTAGCTTTGGCGAATTTTACTATTGCTGATCTGTCGCCAAGGTCGAATTTCAAGTGCACCGACTTCGTAATTAACTTCAACGTAATTATAACATGTTTTTCGCTTATTCTTTACAAATATTGAAATTTTCAATTCAATTTACCAATGTATAATGATTTGCGCATTAGTTCTTTGTGATTTAATGTTGAATTTTAGAAGAAGATTTCGGATTCCAAAGTTCTGATTGTGTCCTTTGATATTAGGATTTTTAATCCCTGGTGCGCGGTTTATCTTAATGATTTAGCCTTTTGGACCAATTATATTAAGCAGATGCAGAGAATTATGACAGCATCGAGAAATGGCTTTGATGATAATTTTGAAGTAGCAGAACAGTGTGGTAATGATAGCCCTCTTTTTTCCAGTCTTTATTACTCGAAGAATCTGAAAAAAAAATGTGACAAAGACACATTTTTATAATACGGTGGAATTTAAAACCCTATAAAATTTAATTCCTTGCATTTTACTTTTACCCGCCATTTAATTTTGCGACTTTACTACCATAACTATCTAGTTACGAAACATTTTTATAACTGAGTTGGCATTGAAATATTATGAGTTAACTGGAACAGTTAGGAGTAAGTTTTTAGAGTTAAACCAATTTAAGAAGATTTTTGGGTTGGGAGACAGTATAAGGTAGCTGTAAATGTACTTTAGTTTTAGTAATTGGACAGCTTGACAGTAAACTGTTTTTTTTGCATTTTACGTTTTTTTCAATCTATCCTCTTTTACGGCTTTATAATGTTGAAGTTATTGCACAGGGGGACTAGACATATTAAAACATTTTGATGTTGTTCGATCTTTTAAAATAGGAACTGAGGAGGGCGATGTCCAGACTCCTGGAAGCAATAAACACCATCTCATATCGATATCGGCTGAAATTAATGGCGTCCAGTGCTGTTTAAAGCCTGTGAGCGGGTGTGATATCGACATAGGGATCGACCTAATCACTTTTACTTCTGCAAATGTAAATTAGTTGACTTTCTTAATTTTGTTTTATAATTGAAAGGTAGCTAATGTAGTTTTTAAATTGGGGCTAGACAGAATTAATTTTGGTAACTGGTATTGGACTCTTATTTTATTTTTCTGTAAAAACCTCTGAGCTATTTTGTTTGTGAGTCAGGATAAAATAGTGACAAGTTTAGAATTTTTTGACTGTTGAACTCGGTGTGGAATATTTATGGGTACGGCACGGTGTTTCTAGCGAGGAAACCACAAACTTTTCTTTCCAGACGCACAAATGGGGGACCTCAATTGCATTGTGTGCTGGATTAGCCCAGGTTTTTTCTCTCCATTTTACTTTCCTCACTGAATTAGAACTAAGTAATATTTTGCAGTTACTTCTCTTATTATGTATTTTATTCGGCATCCTTACAGCGCTGCATGATTTCACAGAAAAGAAATTAATAAGCTTTATTAATTCGTATGTTATATCTTATATTGCTATTCTTCTTTTAAGTTCTCACGGTCAATGGGACACAATCGGCTGGCTGTTGAGCTCGATGAAGGCCATTTAGAGTATACAGATGAATTTGCTCATCAGGTACAGTAATTACAGTTTTATCATAGGCGTGTTCTTTGAAAACTAGAGATTTTTGACCAGGTTGCTGAGTTTATTGGCGTCTTCTTCACTCCTGGAAGCTGTAGCCCTCCCAAGAGCGATTCATGGTCGCCTTCGCCTCATTCCTCTACAGTGACTTCAAACGAGTTTGTAATCCAGGTTTCAGCTGAAAAGTGAGCTTGCAACTCTTATTTACAGATAAATTGAGAGTCAATTCGAGTGTTTTTAGATTGAAGGGTTTTTTCAAATTTTCTCTCATCCTTGTTTTTCAGGCTTGCTGTTTTCCTTGTTGCGAGACAAGCAGCATTTGCTGTTGTATCTATGCAACACGTACGGCTGAAGTCAGTCAACGATCCTATGACAGTATCATTAGCGTTTGAACAGCTTTCAGTTGGCCAGGGATCAGTAACTTCTGATTCTTTTACTTGCCAGAGTGTTTCTGGGAAGATGGAAGCATATGACAAGGTCTCGAGATCTAACGTAGTAGTTAGAAATTGACATATAATTGGATTTTTTTACACTGTTGACTCTAATTTTATCTTGGCAGTCTTAATTCTTCTTTTCCGTAGCATGGTTTATGTGAATATTTTTTCGTGGGTGCCCTACTGGTGTGTTGCAGTTTGGTGAATGTGACAAACTAATAATTTGTTTCTCATCAACGTCAACTTTTTGGGACTTTATGGTTCGGGGAGAAGCTCCTGTTTTTCTAGTTTGGGACCCAACTATGCACATTATTGTTCTCGAAACTTACCGGTAGGTCTTCGTTGTTTTGACTAGGAATATTTTGCGTAATTTACCAGCTTTATTTCGCAGACGTTAGCTTTCTGAGTTATTGGAGTATTATTTTAGAATATGATTGGAAGCAGTGGCCTTGTGGTTTTATTTTTTTCTGGCCAAAGTACAGTACAATTACTTTTTCTTATGGAGTATAGTTCCTTGGAAACAAATTGGATATACATTAGTTATTGATTGGTTTTGGTTGAACTTTTAAGATTAACTATTTAACAGCTTGCTACAGGAGTATCAAAGAAGCTTGTTCTATATGCTTTCCAAAAAATATATCTGTCAGTTCTACATCAAGGACTAACAGACTGAGAATAGAAAGTCAACAACCAGTCACTTTTAAGTATCGCTTGCCGAGGGATCATATGTATGTCTTAACTCTTGTTCATCAAAGCTTACAAACCAAGAAGCATATCTTATTTCACTGAAATTAAAATATCTTTTTAGAATGAAGTGGGAAACGTCTTCGGTTATGATTCAAAGGAATAGTCAAATTTCATTTGTCTTTCCAAACTTTGTTGTGCGAATGGATGATAACCCTATTTTAACACTTGATGTAAATTTAGCTCACTGAATTAAGTTTTTTCATTATCGTTTTTAGAAATTCTTTTTTTTTTTTCGATTTTGCTTGCGGATAGTGAATCAGTTTTTGGTGCGTTAATTACTAATTTTTCAGAACTTTAAGATTTGTCGCCGTTCAATAGATACATTAATGGACCTTGGCCGTGCAGAATTCCAGGATTTAGCTGATAAAACGAACAAGGTTTGGTCTTGGAGCGCAGACTCTTTGTCACTTCTTTTCCCATATGGATACAACTTTGCAGCATGCTTTGACGAAGTAAGTTACACTTCCCCACCAAATTGTTTCAAGCTTCACTTCTGACTACATCTAAGTTGGGTCCATTTGTTCACTCTTGCTTTAGACTTGGTTGAACAGATGGGTAAATTATAATAAATAGTGGGCGAATGAGTAGGTATGTAAACAAGTGAATAAATAAATAAATGTATATATATATATATATATATATATATATATATATACATATTTATTTATTTATTTGTGTTTACATTTATATCTATACATACGGACGGTTCAGCGTCGTTTTGTTTTATCGAACTGTAAAAAATTTTTAAACTTTGCCTGCATGTAGCGCTTGGTATGTGCCTGCGAATTTATTAAAGTTTATTTTAAAAGCGCTTTGCGCCAAAGCTAGACCCGTTCAAATTGCGTAAGAAACGTAGTTTTCACCAGACAGGGTTATCTTTAGGGATCTCTCATTTTGTTCATTTGCAACAGATTTCTAAATCTTTTTTTTTCTTGAAAGTTTGTCTTTTACAGATTCAGAAAGGTAGTGGAATGTCTGTGCTAAGAAGTTACATAAAAGGTTAAAGTGGAAGAAGAGAATTAAAACATGTTGTAAAATGTATCTTTTTGAATTTTCTAAAAAATATATTTTTTGAAGATGTTTAAGTCTCGTGTAAAATTTAGAAGTTACAAGGTGGCACTTCCTTGGTATGACAAGTTACGATGTTATCGGTGAAGTTAGGTTGCAAAAAATTTTCAGTTAATATAACATTTTAATGCCTCTGCAAAAGATAGTGCTTTGTTTTCGACTGAATCATTATTATATTATAAAATTCTTCCTTTCAGTATGTTTAGCCAGTTTAGTAACAAACGTTTGTCTAAAATCTTTCTTTTTGGATAGTTTAAAGAGGAACGTTTTGAAAAAGTACTGTGATAGTTAATTTTTGCGCTTTACTTTTTCACGAGACTATTTTAAATTGAGTATATTTTACTCAGTGGCGGTTGCTAGTAGCGAATATTGTTTTATTATAGTCCTCCTAGCAATGCAAAAATTCTTATTATTGCTAAAAACTGTAATTCTTTATATTATTTGTTAATATGCGTATTTCTCCATTATTCTTAATCTCCTGGGAAAAATTTTTATAAATAAGTTTAAAAATCTGTTGTAATTGCATTAAAATATATTTTTAAAGATAGTCATGTAAAGCTAGAGCTACCTTTTTTCGCACTTTGGGCAGTTTACCGTTGCCTTTAGCGTAGTTTTTAAAATAGTTCTTTTTAATCTTGCAGTGAAGCATCTTGCCCCCCGGGTTGGCAAGTTTTTAAAAAATTATCATACGTATATGTACTGTACATAAGTGATTTAAATTAGAGATTTCTTAAGTGGTTCGGTGCTTGCATTGTTTTTTCAAAGGTAATCAATTCATGGAAATGGATTAAACTCGTGCATAACATAAAATCGAAAGATTTTACTGTTGAGACGCCACTTCCAAGCGACCTGAGGTTTTCAGTGAAAGTGAGTTTTTTTTTCTACTCAAGCTGAGATTTGCCTCAAAAAGTGATTTATTGCAATATACTGCAACTAGTCTTTCAAGTACTTATTGTTTAGATCTTTTTCTTCCTTCGTGTTAGGATAGGTTATAGAATGATTTTAGTAGGAATTTGTTTAACTAGTTTTTTTTGGTTGGGTTTTTTCAAGTTACTGCTTTTTATATTGTTATAACTCTCACGATTATGATTGCTTTTTAATGGTGTTTAGAGAAGGAAAAATCGGGTACTTTTTTCTAATTATATCATACTTTTGCAAAAGTTGATTTTCACTGTATTCATATTTTTTTCATTAAACGCATGATTTTCAAGAGTGCCATATTTCAAATCAATGACGATCCTTTCGAAGTTCAGTTGCAGTCAAATTATGAACTGATGGTTGATGAAGTTTATGAGTGTGAGAGGAGGAGACAACTATTAGATGAAAAGCTAGAGGAACTAAGAAAACAACGCCTGCCCCTTCCACGTATATTATTTCTTTTGCGTATATTCCGCTTAGTTGAATTAATTTTAAAGGATTTCTGACTCTAAAACAATACCTTCCAGTAATTATTTATTTTAGAAAGCAAGCGTGATGAGCTGTATAATTCGTTGACTGAAAGAAATGCTGATATGTATATACAGCGTTCAAAGAAGTCTCCACCGGCCAGAACTCATCTTTTCCAATGGACGGTTTCTAACATTGAGGTTGAGATTCATTGTCACTTTATTTTCTTTTTAAGAGCATTATTTCAATGGTTAATTTAGATACATGCATACGCAGATTTGACACTGCACGGGAAAGATAACTGCGTCAAGCTGATGAGATTGTTTAACCCTGAAGCGTAAGTTTTTCTTACTTTTACTTTGTTTAAACGGTTTAGGAGTTTGTGACTTCTGAAGTTTACAGTAAAAGGTTGAAAACCCGATTGCAAAATTTGGTCGCAAAATCACTTTGTTTAGCCCTTTTCCACCAGAAGGTATGGAATTCAGTACATTGTGGGCCCGGGCAGTGGAGTTAGATTTTGACGAATGGAATGTACAGTTTCGTGATTATCCATTGCCTTATATGGTCATGGAAGACGGCCATTTTTGGGGGAAACTTGTTGGTGCTGAGCATTATGCAGGAATGTCTCGTGATTCATTTTTCTCATTTTCTTTGGTAGATTTTGAATATTTATTGAATTTTTATTGTTTTAGGTTATAGAAGTTTGAGGAGTTGTAAAGTTTCACTTTGTCAGCCTTGGGGAGATTATGTGGTTGATAGAAATATGTGTCCAATCAAATTCTACTATGATATTGAATGTGGTAATGATTACTGGGAATTTAAGATTCCTGCATATTCGCCTTCGTTTAACATATATTTGGAGGTTTCTGAGGTAGTTTTTGATTTTCTTAATTGTTATTTAATATTCCAGAAATTGAGAAGCTTTGTGGTATATATGGACCTTGTTGGGAACCTTGCCTTTCAATGATCAGTCTTTGTTGGAACAACATCAGCGCTCCATCACGGTGAGATGTGTTTTTGTTTTCACATTATTTTTTAAAGCGGTTATCATGGAGCTTTTGATGATAGACTGAGTGATTTTTAGAGACCCTAGCATTCCACTTCCTGTATGGGACAAAATTCGTTTGCTTTTGCATGGTCGACTTTCAATGTTGTGCAAGGAGCTTACCACTTCTTTACTAGCTTCAATTGATCCTTATAATTCTACAGACCTTATGGAAATTTCCTGGAAAAATTTCGAGTTTGATTGGACATCGGGTACTCTTCATATTTTATTTTTTTTAAGTGTATTGTACTAGTTGTGCCATAGACTTTATTTATCTATTTCAGGCCAGTTTCTGGTTCAAACTGACGTAGAAGCGTTTGCTCGAATGGCGTCCAAATACGACGATGTTCGTATGCTTCATCTTCCGGGGTTTAAATTTTCGGTTCTTTTAAACTGGGATTGTGTCGGTGACCCACACGACCATCATAGTGCTTTGCCATTTGCTCCAGATAAGCTGCCCGAATATTCTTCAACTAACCACGTGCGTTTTAATTATATTTTTATTTATATATGTTTACGAATCTTGTCACAAGTACTCATAACTTCGTTTTGCAGGAACACGACTCGTATCGTGCATTTCGCTCCACTCACCTGGATTTGAATGTCAATTACGAAGTGAAGTCTCCTTCTGAGCCGGCAGCTTTCAGCCAATATCCACAGATATTACTATACGCAAACACTTTTCGGTGGTTGGACTTTCTGAAGGTTTTTACTTTAGCTAATTTATCGTTTAAGTTAAAATTACTAAACTCTTTGAACAGAAACCGTTCTTGCTACAACGTTCGGCTGAATCTTAAGTTACTAAAGAGTTTCAGAATACAATCACCACAGTGAATCGTCCTATCAAACGTGGTCCATTATTTAGGTCTAACCAGTTCAAGAAGTTGCAGCTGAGCCGACATTTTAGGTATTTTACTTAAACTTTTAGAGAAGTTCTTGCATTGCATTTGTTGTTAAAACTATGAAGAATTGTTTTTAGGAATATTCGAATTGACTTGACGTTACCTAAATTTTTAATATCATATTGGATGTCTTTCTCTTCTTCTCATGGATTCAGGATGATAAGTGAAAGTCTACATCTGTTATCTTCACTGGAATTGCAGTTGGTTCAGAACGACTCTACATTTCCAGTACTTCTTGCAAAAGA